GGTGAGAAAAAGGAAAGAGCGTATATTTTTGGTACTTTTGCGTGTGGAATTGGACTGATAGATTTTAGAAAATGAGAACCTAGGAAGTGTCGAATTTGAATAAACCCTTTTTACTGACCCTTGGTCATATAAGTAGATGTGCCTCAGCTTACATTTTGGCGTCATATTACGCTTAACAAGTTAAATTTTTAAATTATACAGTGGCCGATTTGTACATTGAGCTGTGGTATCGTAGTCGCGAGGACGAGCTGGCCAATATTGACAGCAATTGTATTTGCGTGAAAATTCGAAAAGTGATTGACGTACACACATCCGATGTTATTGCAAGTGCAATAAAGGAGCTTACATTGCGCCACAAATTAATGGCATGTTTTTGATGAATTTCTTTTTTGAAGCTTTCCAGTAAATATTTTTTAGCGCAGGACTGTTCGTGAGGGTTAGCAGCCTCAGGCATTCCCTGTACATCTCACTGTTTTGGCAACTATTTGTATTTCATGGCCAGTAAGTGCCCCTTGCTGTTACTGCTTTGCCAATCTGAAAAAGTTGCCAGAAGCGTATTTTGAGCACTGTGTTGTAAGGCACATCTGCTTTAAATATTTCGAATTAATAGTTTACCCAACTGTCCCACTGTTTTGCTTTTCCCCTTTCAGTGTGGCGCTAGCAGTTCTTCTTTTATGTCTGCTTTTGAATCGCTGCAGCCAGGCATTCAGTCATTTTAGGCATTCTACTAAGCCAGCTTATCGGTCTTCCAAATTTCTTTTTTAGTTAAACGTGTTGTGAAGATGCATTTTTGCAGTATGTCTGTGCTTATTCTAAACAGCTCATCGTTTGGAGAGAGCAGATTTCCCGCTGAGTGAAATAAATTGAGGAAGCAGAATAGTGTGAGCAGTTCACAGGCGTTGCCATATATGCTTAAGCTAGGAAATTTTTTATGTTTAGTGCTGGATTTTATCGGCTTGAGGGTAGTTCTACATGTGATAAATGCTCTAATTATTCGATAATTACATAAGTTTTTGTGAAAAACAGGCGTTTTTTTT